TGAGACGAAACGACCGTCCAGTGCTTCCAGGGTTTCCATGTTGGTCTATCTTCAATTGACTAATGATTTCAACTATAAAAGATTACAGAAATCTCCACAAAAAAGCCCATTCTGATATGTATACTTAAAGAAGTGATTCAGTCAATTTGTAATGATTTACTTAGATTTACTTTATGAAACTATCATAAATTAATATGAATTGGATGGGGGGACTATTGAAATTTATGGAATATTATATAACTCTTTTTGATAGAGTTTTGTTCTGTCCATCTAAGCTACAAATCTTCTCCATCATCTTATATAACTCTTTCATTATTTACATACTTACTTACTTACGCCTGTTACTCCCAATGAAGCATAGGCCGCCGACCAGCATTCTCCAACCCACTCTGTTCTGAGCAACTCTTTCATTATTTTGAATTAAAGTAGTATTATTCAATTATAGTATCATATAAGAAATGAATTAGTATATTTAGATTTACTTAAGAATACTGAATATCTATAGAATAATAAGCAGGAATTGAACAGCTTATATTTACATTTACTACTTTGTAATCTATATGTAATGGTATCAATGAATGATTACCTTATTCTTGACTTAATTGATTCACTAACTTATTCATTGAAGATTGAAATCAGTGTACTACAACTGATTCAAACAAGAAATTTTATAAGAGCATCGAAATATTGTCCTGGATTCCATTGCTAGCCACTATCCATCTTTGCTTAACAAAAATTGGGCGCCGAGTATAGAGAAGTCATTATAGGTGAAAATTATATTTGAAATAATTTTAGCGATTGAAATTTAAATCATAATTTCAACGTTTCGTCCCCTTAACTTGTTTGGACTTCTTCAGGATTATAATTAAAATCATCAAAGAATTATCTTGTTATTTGTTCTAATCTTGATGAATATTCGTATAAATCATTTTAAATGCTCTTCTTAATCATTATGAATAAGTAAAAATACACTTTACCATAAGACTACTTGGAACTAAAAGAGGAGACTATAATACCATTTTATAGTTGAAATCATGAATCAGTTAAAGATATACCACCATAGAAAACCCGGAATCACTGAACGGCTATTTCATCCTATTGTGGGACTCCTTAGCCTCGTGAGATTCGAAACTAGGACCCAAAACTCTCGCGTACGAGCACTTAACCTCTAGACTACTGAGCAGGCAACCAACGGTGTTAATGTCTAATTTCAACCAATCTACAAAATTGAGCTACACATCCACTAATGTCTTCAGTAAGTTACTATCTCACAACAGACCTGGATGAACTCCGCTGGTCACTACTTCTCACTAGAACTTCAGGAAATAATACCATTGAGAAACTAAAAAAAATATTGAAGTAAACATCTTAGTCCTAAAGGTTAGTGGTGGTTGAAAGAGATTAGTGACAAATTTTCAAACTCTGTAGCTATGTGACATAAATTCTAATCTCACGGCGATAATCAATTATTATGAGATTGTATTTAAGGTTCAATGATAAGTGTCAACTAGCATGAAACTGGATCAAATAGTGTTTCCTACCAACCAACTGCAAACACCAATAACACATCAAAACATAATGCATTCGACGTCGAGTTACTTAGATAAGTGATGAAATTGGAAGTGAATCTATAGAATTTGATTCGCATTCAGAATCAAACGAATATGACAATGATTACTACCCAGTGATCAATTATTATACTTTATAACTATAGAATATCAATGACTTATTCGTTAATTGTCTAAGCCTAGTAAACGAAATTGTTTCCCTTAGATAAATAAACAAAATGGGAATATCAACAATGAACGAAAGTAAACAAGGTCTTCTATATTTTGTTGAATAGATAAACATTTAAAATTCATTAAAATTTCAAAGAGTAGGGTATAAGAGGAAATTAGGGATTTAGATTAAGAATAAACACCTTTAAATAAATGTACGTAACATGGTGTTGGCTACTGTTGTTGGCAGATATAAGTAGTATGTATCATCAATCGAAAATGAAATACCTGGAGGCATAACGTTAAAAAGATCGAAGAAAAGAGAACAAGAACGGAGAACGATTTGTGTGAAAACGAAAGAACGATGAAGTCGGAGACTATTGATTGACATTTTGTAGAAGTAACAATCAAGTTTAAGAAAGTTGACTAGTATTTCGCAAATAAAGAATTTACTGTATGGTTATCAGATTTTGTCCTCGAATGCTCTGGTACGGCCGAGAGTGGAGAGAGTCCACTCTCACTCTCCAAGTGCTCTCACATGGTCACAAGTATATAGCCTCTGCCAGGGAAGTCTTACTCACTGTCTTCTCGTGGCATTACTGTTGTTTACGAAATTGAAAGGACGAAAAGCGAATATCTGGCGCTTTAACCGGGTTGGTGGATACGGAGAGTCCAACTGGGAGAGTTGGAAAACCCTGATTCCAAACCAATGGTGCACATGGGCTCCAGTATCCCGAAGGAACAAATGGTGTACGAATCAATCGTTGATCACCGGCTACCATGATACTGCATCTCCTCACGATGCTCCACTGCCTTGCTGACCAGACCTTTAGGTCAAAGGCTCGGGGTGTGGCCCACTAAGTAAACCAACTCCTTTGGTTTGGGCACCTGGGCAGTATCACAGCCCTCACACAAATCAAATAAGATTTGTGAGGCGCATATTTATCTGATAGCCCCTCGTACCAATACTCATGTGTCTAAACAAATAAATATATCTCAGATTTTACTAAGATGTTCTTTAATTTTGTATCCAAATACATTCGATTGTCTCCACTTGTGTTCTCGTTCACTTGCACTGGTAACATTGAAGCGCATTTTTGGCCAGTTTGACGGTAGAACTTCCTACATAAACTTCAACAGTTTTATTCTTCCCCATTTAGAGCACGGAAACATAGTACTTCCTCCCTCCCTCCAAAAGGATAAGGACACTCTGGAACGTATCCAGAAACTGGAGACCCAACATAGCAGAACAGACTGCAGACACAACTTCTACTCCGTTAGAGTTGTCAAATTCTGGAATTCGCTGCCGACTGAGCTAGTCCAAGCGACTTCCCAGGAGTCCTTTAAGAGGAAACTTGACTTATTCTTAAGGACTAAGGATAACATATTATTATGACTTACCAAATTCCATTTGTCCTCTATTATCGTTAATATACCTAGGTTCTTGCCTGGGAGTATTGGTGATCCACTGCTACTAGACACGGAAGCCAGTTAAGCGAAACCTTCTTCTATTCCATCCTCAACCATTTGAACTATAATAGTATTACATCTATTTCTCTCTTTTGTTATTCAACTACTTTTTGAAAACTTTACTTACTCATTTTACTTATTATTTTTAAACTAATAAATATACGTAACTATTTTTCTCTTCAACAATACTTCAAGAAGGTAAATGCAGAAAGACTACGACGTAAGAAAATCAATCATCGTCTAGATCATCTACGCAATACACTAGCACTTAGTAAAGATGTAAGTTTTATATATAATCTTATTGTATAGAAAACTATTTAAAAACTTTAGTGAGATGTCACTTCTACCCGAAGTTTGTGCTGATGATGTCGTTCAGAAGGACGATGAAAGCTCTACGACCAAATCATCCAGCTCAGAGAACATGCAATAACTCTCTGATTAAGGGACTGTATCATATATATAGTTGACTTGCTGAGTAAGAATCAGTCGTTTTGAGGTTAAAAATGCCTTCTTCATGTTGCACACAAAGCTTTATGTCTACAACAAACTTCACTAGTACATCCATATAGGTTAACACAAATACCTGATTCAATAAACATTGAAGATTAAGCAGTATATTAAGCTTTGATTTAGAATTTTAATGTAATCACCATTCATACTACTCAATTGAGTAAAGTAGAATGAATGGAATGAGATTCGAAACTATGATTACATGGTTAACTAGGCGTCATACATTATGCATATGATAGTTAATTAATTTATTCAACGATCCTAAATGAAGTGGTTACAGTGAGGCATTAAATAGGACGAATATATTTGTAAGATCTCCGCGAATGAATTTGAAGTGAATCCAACGTTTCGCCTGGCAATCTGGTCCAAGCTTTTTCAAGGACCAGATTGTCAGGCGAAACGTTGGATTTACTACAAATTCATTCACTGAGATCTTACAAATATATCCTTACTATTTAATATCTTACATCAATTCGGCGCTCAAAGACTGTGAAACTATTCGCTCTAATTTAGACGAAAGTTCTTATACGGTTACAGTAGGGTTTTTAAATCAGCAACTTAATTCACTGAAAGTGTAATGCTTTAAACCATCAAGTTATAGAATACAAAACCCTGATAGATTCATTAAAATCAAATCGTTAATTCAATAGTCGAATTCATCAGTCGGTTAAAGCTAAACCACTATGGAAAACTTGAAAGCATTGAATAGCCGTTTCGTCCTACTATGGGACAAATCAATAATGTTAGAATGACTAACATGAAGTGTTGACTGGGATCAGTTTATAAGTGAAATGAAACTAAAAGATAAATAATGATAAGAACAAAAATTGGATAGAACTAGAAAGTAAGGCCTAGGACAGAGTGGGTTTGATAATGGTGGTCGGCGACCTATGCTCCATTGGAAGTAACAGGCGTAAGCAAGTAAGTAACATGGAATGAAAGAGACAGTGATGTAGTTACAAATCAGGAATCACGTAATATCTAGAATTACGTACGAATTAGTAAATTAAGATGGATGCTGAATAAACTCCTTAAAATTGTTGGCAGGTTTTACAATGATAATGAACAGTAATCAAATTACGTCAATGTATCATATGATTGATTATTAACTAGTTAGTCCTTTAGCTGGCCAAAGTAATAGGAGTGGTACTCAAAACTCTAGATTTTTCATCCGAATAGCAATTGCTGATGATTTTTGTTCTCTGAGTTGGATGGTTTGGTCTTGGAGTTTTCTCCACCATCTCAGAATAGCAACTACTTCAGCTGTCCGTAGGATTCTCAGTTTGATAGATTTAGGGAAATTGCAAATGAGATTACTTCATGTTGTCTACATTGTTGATTTTCTATTCTTTGTATTATAGATGACACGAATTCAAATACTTAAATATGCAGCTGATAAATTGATTGGTATACCTTCAATAAACAATTATACTACTGAATATAAATCGGATACATTAAACCTTATAAATGTTAAGCCATATGAACAAAATCAATTCCTTGGACATATTAATTCAACAACCGACAAGGTATTGAATATTCATATCATTATCTGTTTGAATGTTTATAAATTTAAATGTTTATTAGCCAGATATTGATTCTGGAATAATGTTTTTGAATGAGCACTTAACCTCTAGACCACTGAGCTGGCCGGCATCCAAAGGTATTAATGTCTAACTTGAACCGATCCACGAAATTGAGCAACATATCCACCATTGTGTTCAGTGAGGTCGTGGGTTCAAACTCACGAGGTGGGATCGTGGATGTTCACTGGTGAGGAATCTCACAATAGGACGAAAGGGCCGTCCAGTGCTTCCAAGTTTTCCTTGGTTGTCTAGCTTTAATTGACTCATGCTTTCAACTATGAAATTTTAAGAACTCTTTACAGTATTTGAATATATATCAGGCTTGTAATAAAACTATCTTGATTTTTCTTCATTAGGTAAAATTTACAAAAGCATCAATAGAACAATATCGTCGACGTCTAGAAAGAATTGAATATGATCGTATACATTCATTTCTAGGTGGTGAAAAGGTTAGTTCTCTATTGAACTTTTTTATTGATCATATTACAATAAATTGATCATTAAACTTATGTATATGTACAAGCTTAGTGTTTAGTCCGAATCGGGCGATTTACAGAATAAGCTCATGATTACACAGTCAATAGTCGACTAAGTATAATTCCACACACTTGAATTTAAGGTAAACTTCATTATATTGGATAAGGATAGTGATGCTAACTGATTGTCTTTTCTAAATTCATATGACAACATATGAAAATAAGTAGGAACAAGTACTCGAAAATGAGCTTATTAAATTGTAATCTTAATGGAATGAACAATCAGTTGAAGTTAGACATTAACACCGTTGGATGCCGGCCAGCTCAGTGGTCTAGAGGTTAAGGGCTCTGGCTTGAGACTTGTAGGTCCTGTGTTCGAATCTCGCGAGTGCGGGTTCGTGGATGCGCACCGCTGAGGAGTCCCACAAGAGGACGAAACGGCAGTCCAGTGTTTCCAGGTTATCATGGTGGTCTAGCTTCAATTGACTCACGCTTTCAACTATGAAAAATAAAAAAATGGTTACACAGATACATGTATACTTGTTGAGACATTCGAGAGCTTTGAGACATGAAAACTAAAAGGTCAGCTAGAAAGATTAAAGGTAAGTCGTAACAATGAAAAATAAAGTACACAAAAACGATGTGATTACCACTCTGGATAATAAATCAGTATTAAGAACAAATTGTTTTTTTATTATCATGAGGGGTTTTGTGGACGAAACGGCCGTCCAGTGCTTCCAGGTTTTCCATGGTAGTCTAGCTTCAATTGACTCACGCTTTTAACTATGAAAATTGTTTCTAAACACACAAAGAGGGTTTCGGTTTCCATTTAACAAAGGCTTCAAAAAACCTTAGTATACGTCATTGAAGGCTTTTGTACAAAAATACAAACGCTGACTTGATATCAACTTTATGGCCAGTCTCAACCAAATGTTTCGGAATGAAGGACTATATCTGTCTATTCTATGATCTTATTTGATCATTGGAATTCATTTGTTTCTGCAGCCATTTGGGTATGTGTTCCGTCACCCTTAATTGCAGATCACGATTGCTCCTCCTAGAGTGAACATCAACTCTGAGATGCAGGTACATCCAGTTGACGAGTCTCAAATAGGATGAAACGTGCGTCCTGGATTCCACTGCTAGCCACTATCCATCTCTGTTTACCATGCTTGTGAATTAAGGCTATATCGAGGCAATACGCACAGTATGCACATATGCCAATTAGAGGCTGACCAGTTGCAGTCTTAACACATCGATGGGAAGATTCAAACAAACAATACTAAGTTGAATTTATACATGTAAATTGTTTTTGTGTACTTTATTTTTCATTGTTACGGTTCATCTTCATTGTGTCTAGTTGACCTTTTAGTTTTCATATATAAATGAACTTAACAAGTCTATGTATGATCAGATTGGTCGAAATGTATTACGGGAATATATATCGCATAATTCTGATAACCTTCGTCTTCTCATTGCTCTATTGAAATTTATCAAAGGGACTAATTTTTAAAAAAAAAAGGTTAATTACACTTTTCAATTCTGTTTAAGAAAATAGTTAAATGTTGATATCTGACTTCCACTTGTACATAGATTAACATAAACTAATAGTTAAATTCACTAGTCAATTAAAACTAGACCACCACGGCCGTTTCGTCCTAGTATAGGATTCTTTAGAAATCCACATCCATGATCCCGTCCCCGTGGAAATCGAACCCATTACATATCGGTTTCGTGAGTGAACACAATGGTGGACTAGTTAAAGTTAAACATTAACACCATTGGATGCCATCTCAGTGACCTCAAGGTTAAGCGTTTGCTCGTGAGACTAAAGGTCTTCGTCTCAAGTTCTACATACAGGATGGTAGATGAACACTATTGTGAAGTCTCATACCAGATTGAAACAGTAACTCATTGCTTCTAGGTTTTCCATAATAGTTTAATTTTATATAGTTGAAATCATGAGTCAATTTAAGCTAGACCACCATGGAAAACCTGCAAGAAATGGATGGCCGTTTCGCCATATTGTAGGACTCCTCAGTAATGCGCATCCACGACCTCGCTTCGCGAGATTTGAACCTAGGACCTACCTGTCTCGCGCCAGAGCCCTTAACCTCTAGACCACTGAGCTGGCCGGCATCCAACTGTGTTAATGTTTAACTTCAACTGATCCACGAATTTGAGCAACCGTTCAACAGTTGTCTTCAGTGAGTTGTCATCTCACAACATACGTGGTTTGAGCTCCACTGGTCATTGCTTCTCACTAGAACTCCAAGAAATATCTCTAAAAGTCAGTCACTAGTGAGCATATGATTATAATCATAAGGGGTATTTTGTGCAGATTTCAGTAATTTCATAATTCAAATCATGAGTCAATTGAAGCTTCCAGATTTTCCTTGGTTTGTCTAGCTTCAATTCACTCATAATTTCAACTATGAAAATCACTGAAATCTCCACAAAAAAAACCCTTTCTGAGTTTAATTTTTAATGAATTCATGAATTCAATTTATTAAATTTTACAATTTTTTGTTTTTATTTATTTAATTTTCCCGCTAAATTTTTTTCTAAATTTTTAACCAATAGATGTCCGATATTCAATTATTAGATAAATTAATTAAAATTATAGAAAATATTGAAAATTTTACTCCAATTAATAATTTATATAATGAGAAATTATCAATGAAATTATTGGCACCAACAACAATCATTTCATCGAAATCAATCAATAATGAAAGAAAAGGATTAAAATTAATCAATAATAATCACTTAATTAATTCAATCGATAAATCAATCAATAATGATAATAAATTTAATCCAATACAAGAAACAATAATCAATAGAATAAATAAATATTGGCGACCTTGGGAAGATGAAGATAAAGATTAGAATGTGAATAATGGAATATAAAGAAAAAAAAGTATACCATTGAAATGATCATCCATTTGATGATGAATTGATTACTTACTTACGCTTGTTACCCCGCCCAATGGAGCATAGGCCGCCAACCAGCATCCTCCAACTTCCTCTGTCCTGGGCTTTCTTTTCTAGTTCTATTCAATTTTTGTTCATTCTTCTCATGTAGCTCCTTACGGGGACTACTGCCGGTCTTAAGCCCGGGTAAAGGAGGAGGAGGGTTGGGCATGGGGTTAGCGACTCTATCCCGTAGAAAACCAACTCTCTAAAACAACGCTAACTAGATGAATTGATTACCTCTTTCATTTTTCTTCTAGAATTATTCTTAATTAATGAATTATCAGTGATGTAATTAAAACAATAACAACAATAACACAACAACAAACTTATGTATATTTTCAGAAAGGGATTTTGTGGAGATTTTAGTAATTTTTATATGGTTGAAATCATGAGTTAACTGAAACTAGACCATTATGGAAAACCTGGAAGCACTGGACGGCCGTTTCGTCCTAATGTAGGAATCCTCAGCAGTGTGCATCCACGATCCCGCCTCGTGAGATTAGAACCCAGGACCTGTCAGTCTGGAGTTCTGCTGAGAAGCAGTGACTAATGGAGTTCAGGTTTTCCATGGTGGTCTAGCTTCAATTGACTCATGATTTCAATTGTGTATATTTATTTATTTTTACATTAGAAAATTTGTTTTAAAACTATGTATATATATGTAAATATAGATTTGTTATAAACTTACTTATTAACTTACGCTTGTTACTCCTCATGGAAGAGCATAGGTCACACACTAACAATGGCTATCGAACTCCGTCTTGAGCAATCCTATCCAATCATTTCCAGTCGTTATTCATACCGACATAGTATGTTCTTTGGCCTTCTTCTTTTTTCGTTTCTCTACATGATTCCCAGTTAGTGTTTGCTTCGTGATGCAGTTTGGTGATTTTCGTCATGTGTCCTATCTACTTCTATCGTCTTTTGTTATTTTTTTCTTTAACAGGAAGATGGTTTGTTCTCTCTCACAGTAGGCTGTTGCTGATGGTATCCGGTAAACTTATTATAAAACATTTAATTACTTACGCCTGTCACTCCCAATCGAGCATAGGCCGTTGACCAGCATTCTCCAACCCACTCTCTACTGGGCCTTCTTTTCTAGTTCTATCCAAATTTTGTACATTCTTCTCATGTCTGTCTCCATTACTCAGCGTCATGTGTTCTTTGATCTTCCTTTTCTTTGGCTTTTAGGATTCCATTCGAGGGCTTGCCTTGTGAAGCAGTTGGGTGATTTCCTTAAAGTGTGTTCTATCCACTTCCAGCACTTTTTTCTGATTTATTCCTCCACTGGAATCTAGTTAGTTCTCTTCCACAGTAGGTTGTTACGAATAGTGTCTGGCCAAAGCATCCGAAGTATCTTGCGTAGACAACTGTTAATAAACACTTGTATCTTCTCGATGATGATGGCCTTCGTAGTTCTCCAGGTTTCCGACACATACATTTGAACTGTCCTGACATTTGTATTGAAAATTCTGACTTTGGTGTTGGTTGACAATTGTTTTGAGTTCCAGATGTTCTTCAGTTGTAAATAAACTGATCTTGCTTTGCTGATCCTTGCTCTCACATCTGCATCAGATCCACCGTGTTCATCAATGATGCTGTCTAGATATGTAAAGGTTTTCACATCTTCTAAAGCTTTTCCGTCAAGTGTGATTTGATTGGTCTATGTTGTGTTGTATCGGAGAATCTTACTTTTCTCTTTGTGTATGTTGAGACCTACTGCTGCTATTATAAAATACTCTTAGTTTAATAATCATGCTAAGAGGAACTAGAAGTTGTAGTAAGGATATAGTATAAATAGAAATTGTACTTACTGTCTGTACACGCAGAATTCATACATGAATCGCTAAATTTCTAAAGCATTTGAAGTGCAGAAACTTTTCATTCATTCTCATTTAGAACCTATTCGGTGAAATGGTCAATATACAAATTTCCATAACCGGATCTCATTGAATAAGGAAAGAAGTTTAATTTACTCTGCATCCTCTATAAACCAGATGAATATACACCGATAAAAAACTAATTAAACTCGGTCAATACTCATCAAAATTGGTTATCTTACAGAGTTAACTGACAATTACGTAAAGTCAAAGGTATAACCTGGAAAATTGTTTACAGTACCAACGAATACTCTCTTCATGAATGTTGTATTCAAATGAAATAATTCAGCAGAAATTACAAATTGATTTGACAATAAATAACAAATGAGGTTATGTACTAATCAAGGGGGTAAGGAAGAAAATCATTTATGGGTCAGATAGTCCAATTGACAGATATGAAGAAAAGCGACAAACACAAAGGTCATAATAATAATAATCTGAGTAATAATCAAGAAAACTTGTATAAGGTAATAATAATGTAAAATGTAATGTAATGTAAAAACAAAAATCGATAACGACAATCAGAAACATACCCATTAAGGGAATTAGGGTCAAGGAAAGGTGAGAGGTTGGACAAATCGTTTCTGCATGCAAAGTTCAGGCTTGAGTTCATGGATTGCCAATGCCTCAGCAGTTAATAAAATATTGATTTGACCCCCCCCCTTCCATCCGGTTCCTTTGACTTTGTAGATTACTTTAAAAGAAGAGTTTTTTGGAGTGATGCGTCCACAGTTAATTAAATGCTCCTGTATCGAACCTCATTTGTTACTTAATGTTGAATCAATTTATAATGTAATCTTTCCTAGCCTCCTGTAGACATATATTCTCCATATAACTATATATACGAATGTACAGCTTAAGTAAATTATTTCGTCGAAAAGAAAATTTTCTTCGCTAAATTCTATTTTTCTTATTCAATGATATTGAGTTATTTTAATCCAACTAGTCATCAGCAACGTAGAATCTCACACATATTTACAGATTCAATTTGCCACACTGCATCGGTGCAATTCGATGAAATTATCAGTACAAACCCCAGAGTAGTGGAAATTCTAGTAGTGTTAGTCCTAGTAGAAAAGACTAGGCATAGGAAACATGATTTCTGAAGAAAATGAATTCTCGGACGTACAAGGTGACTCTAAAACTGAGAATCTACGAGGAGACAAAGTGAATGGGTCTATGCCATCGTGGCTGATTCTAGCCTATGTTATCCGGCGTCTCCTAACATTGGTTATGATAATCGCGTGGATTTCAACCAGACAGCTTGCATTTACTGATACGAGACAATCCAACAATCATTGACTTCATAGACTAATGCCATGTCTTAGTCTGGTTGATTACTAAATGAACATCTTTAAATTTTGAATTCAATGTCATCCTTAGCTTTACACTTCTCAGTTTCATTTGTTCTTTTTGAACTGTATTTCTGTTTTAGAAGAGGCTTTAAAATGATTGGTGAGATGGAACTTTTGATCGTCAGGATCTGTTATATCCTGGTAAAGACATTAGTATGGGTAACGCCCAGGACCAATTAATGGAATATTATTCTATATATATTCTTATTGTTTAACTGTTGAGTAATTAGTTTGTGTATATCTATATTCATCTTATTATAAGCTTCATTTTGACCACGACTTTACTTACGCCTGTTACTCCCAAATAGGGTATAGACCGCCGACAACCATTCTCCAACCCACTCTCTACTGGGCCTTCTTTTCTGCTTCTATCCAATTCTTGTTCATTCTTCTCATGTCTGTCTCCACTTTTCGGAGTGATGTGTTCTTTGGTCTTCCTCTTCTCCTTTGGCCTTCAGGATTCCATTCGAGGGCTTGTCTTGTGACGCAGTTGGGTGATTTCCTCAAAGTGTGCCAAATCCACTTCCAGCGCTTCCTCCGCTGGAATCTGGTTTGTTGTCTCCCACAGTAGAATGTTGCTGATAGCGTCTGGCCAATGGATCCGAAGTATTTTGCGTAGACAACTGTTAACGAACATCTGTATCTTCTGGATGATGGCTTTCGTAGTTTTCCACGTCTCCGTCCCATACAGTAGAACTGACTTGACATTCGTATTGAAAATTCTGATCTTGGTGTTGGTTGACAATTGTTTTAAGTTCCAGATGTTTTTCAGTTGTAAATATGCTGCTCTTGCTTTGCCGATCTTCGACTTCACATCTGCATCTGATCCACCGTCGACCACGACTTACTGTTCCGAAACTATATTCAGTTTATTAATTACTGTCTCCCACGTTCACAGTCACATTTGGCTTGAACTTGTACAAATATTATTTTCTATTTTATGATCTGATGCGGTCTGTTTGTCTGGTATAAAAACCGAGTATGCTTGAAATAAATGATTCGCATAACAGAAGCTGAAATTGGTGTTCTGGACTCAACTGAAAGGGCTAGGCGGACGAGGGACCAATAAGGACGCTAGACTGCTCATACTAGTTGAACGTCCTTTATTTGTCAGTGTTAAGATTGGAAAAGTCGTGTTTCGATTGGTGGATAATTCACGTGATAACAAGCCGGATATGAAGTCATAACAGAATATCGACTTATAAATGAATGTAATGTTACTATGTGGCGGGATGTTTGTTTTTCACGAAACTGTATTATTGACTTAAGGGCCCCAAGCGACTCAAAATAAAAAACAAGACCACTTAACCAGAAGAATATTTTTTAAGGTGATAAAATAGTATACTTACATATAGAATATGTCCTACTCACGGTAGACCTGTTGTTTACGAAACTAAGGAGACGAAAAGCGAATGTACGGCTCTTTAACCAGGTTAGTGGACACGGAAAATTCACCTAGGGGAGTTGGAAAACCCTGATTCCAAATCAATGGTGCACATGGACTCCAGTATCCTGAAGGAACAAATGGTGTATGAATCAATCGTTGGTCACCGACTACCATGGGACTGCATCTCCTTACGATGCTCCACTGCCTTGTGGATCAGACTTTTAGGTCAAAGGCTCCGGGTGTGGCTCCCTAAGAAAACCACCTGCTTCGGTTTGGGCACCTGGGCAGTATCATAGCCCCCACACAAATCAAATGAGATTTGTTTGGCACATATGTATCTGGTGCCCGTTTGTACCAATATTTATGTGTTCAAATAAAAAATAAAAATAAAAGTAATATTAATAAACATTATCTTTTATTTAAATCAAATGCAAAAGGGTGAAATACGTAAAGCCTATTATAGTTTTATTGTTTATCGTTTTATTATGCAATTCGTTTGATTAAATGAATTCCAGAATCTGTATATACAGGACCACACATTTCACCAATTTCTAATTTAAATGCAGCATCTTCAAATGGCTTTTGCATTTGACCACGACTAAAGAAATTTAAATCACCGCCAGAATGAGCTGAACTACAATCGCTTTCAGTTCGGGCAAGTTCTTCAAATGTATATTCACCAGATTCAATTTGTTGTTTGTATTCTAAAAGAGAAAGGACAAGTGGAAAGGAGAAACACATTCATGAATATGAACAATCAGTACGAACGCAATTAATCAGTCAATGTGAAAATTTCAATCTTACAACAACGCCAGTTCAGTCATGAGCTGAATATCTCAGTGGAAACGTTTTTGATTAAGGCGTTGAGGGAAATGAGTCCATATCTCAAAGAAAACACCACAAAAGATACTTCTTAGCTCCCGACTCGCAACTAGCAAGAAATCTAGGGGTCAGGCATGGCTTTCTGGTGACTGTTTCCAAAAGCCTCACCTTAAAATGGTGCACATTATGTTTAATTACATTAATGGCTACATTGAAATCAGCCACATGTTTCCTAGTATCTAATTTAGTTTAGCATTCAATTGTAACGAAATACTAACAGATTAAAAATGTTTATTTGACCACTATTCGTCTCTATATTGACCTTTTTTTGAAGACAGTAAAAGCTCTTCTACAGATCCATATCTACTTATTGTTTATGGTGTCTGCTGAACATTTAATTCGACCATTTTTAATATCTAGTAATCTTGTTTAGATGCAACACATACATCAAGTCGAAAAGAAATGCATGAAGTCAATAAGGAGTTTAGTTTTGTATACAAGAAACAGTGATAAACTTACTTTTTATTAAATTTAAGGCTTCATCTTTAGATCGAGTGATATTCTGTTGTTTCCAAGATGAAGGACGTCGAGATTCATTGTGCTTCACCAGTAAATGTAAGCATCGTACTTTATTTGTAGATGATATTACTGGGTGCTGAGGAAATTCCCATTGTGACTCATTTGTAACTGTATTAACATAATATGGTTTTCCTTAAGAAAATATTTGTTTAGTTATAAAAAGAAACTAGAAACAAACCACTACTGGAACTGATTCGAGATACCCAACCTTCAGGTAAAGAAGACATAACAAGGATTTAAGATGAGAAGACGGTAGTATGAAACCTGAAAGAGAAAAATTTACCGATTAGGAAAAACCTGTAGTATTTCAAATTATGTGCCTTATACCTACAGTTAGCAACGCATTTTTCCGTTAAGCGGTCTAGTGAGAAAATTAGCAGACATTGATGCTTACTACTAGTTTTTGCTTGAACAGCTATGATTCTGCAACTTCTTTTACATGAGCAAGACTATGAGCTATTTATGGATGAAGCGAAACAATAAACTAAACTAAGTGTTGGGTTGAAACTCTTAAGGTTATCAAAACTTGTGTTTCTAGGCGGATGAATCAGCTGAAGGTTAGGTGACAAGAAGAAAATCATAAAATAACGAGCAATAGTGATGTTGTATGCAGTGGTTTCAAAAACAAGTATGTACAACATAAGTACTGTCTATGGAATAGTATTTCAGATAACTGGCTAAGCAATGAACCGTTAATCCTACCTCACTGTGCGAAAACTAACTACAACTCGATTCTTCACTTTAATTCTGTTGTGCTTCATTGTTTATATTTCATTTTGTTTGGCTCATCACAGATCTGCGATTTGATACCGGCTTCCAGAATTCAGTTCCGGGTCTGGGCACCCGGGCAGTATCACAGCCCACACACAAATAAAGGAAATGACGATTTCTACTGACAATACTATTCTCGCTCCTACTAGAAGCCAAACAATCTACATTACTATTATTATTTAACATGTCGCTCATTCACTCCCTTTTAATCCCGATTTGTGTATCCTTACTTTTCAACTTGGCCATGGTGAAACTCTGTTCTATCTAAACGATTTCTAGTCACTGTCTGGTTGAAAGTGAATGCTTCCACCGATTACGAATATTGAACCAGTCTTTCTGAAACCACGTACACCGTTCAAGCTGGCTTCCTTCAACGTTCGCACACTAATGCAGATCAGACAACAGATAGGGCTGGCTATGTCTTTAGAAAGTCTTAATGTTGACGTCTGCTGTCTATTCGAGACCTGTATTCAAGACTCTAGTGAAGTACTACAAATTCGCTCTCCATCTGTCGCCTCGAAAAACTTGTTTCACGTGCGCTTATCCGGGGACCCTGTGGCATCTTCGTCTGGTCTTGCTGGCGTTGGTGTCGCACTAAGCGCTAGAGCTGAGACAGCACTAATCGATTGGATCCCCATTAACAGTCGGTTATGTGCTGTTAGATTAGAAAGTTCCATCAAAAGTGAGAAGAAATCGGTGTGAGAAACGATGTCTTTTCGTCATTTCCACCTATGCCCCGACAGATTGCAGCCCGGATGCAATCAAGGATGAGTTTTACCACCAGTTAACAGTTCTTCTCGAGAAAGCGCGTTCGACAGATATTATAGTACTAGCCAGAGACTTGAATGCACAGGTCGGGCGTCTAGACACAGAAGAGATTCGTTTAGGTGGTCGATGGGGACTTGTTGGTCGCAGGACAGATAACGGAGACCGTTTGCTGCAACTGTGCACAGACTACAACCTGTTTCTGGTTAGCATTAACTTCCGGCACAGTCATCGCCGATGTGCCACCTGGCGTCCTTCTTCTGCGTCTCAAACCTGGACTCAAATTGATCACATCGCGATCAGCTACCGCTGGCGTGGTTGTGTACAAGACTGCCGCTCCTTCTGGAGTACCTATCTGGAGTCTGATCATGCCCTGGTCTGCGCCAATTTTACTTTACTTTTCAGTGGCCGAAGGACTGACCACCATCAACGGATCGATGTTAGTAAATGTTATGCTTGTGGCCGAGTGGATGATTAGTTGATGGGTGAGGTGATGAGACCGCTAATCAGGGAGTAGCGAATTGTCGATTGGAACAGTGACACGAAACCGTACGAGCAGTCTACAGTGCTAACCGGTCCTGCGATCTGCCTAGCTCAACCAGTTAAGTCCGAAACACCAATAACAGCCTCAGTGGTATCAATCATTGTATTTCAAACATACTGAGTTTATATACCAAATAAACAACCATATCGACCCATAAAATAGATAATAACATTTGTACAATATTTAGCCGAATGTGGCTGTGAATAGTAATCAATAAACTGGTGATAACTCAAGAATCGTATGATAATAAGTCAAGGTCAAAATAAAGCTAATGATAAGAGAAATACGAATATGAATAGTTCAGTTACGTAATAATTGTACAATAGGAAATAGGCATATTACATTGATCCATAAATAGACCTAAAAGTTACCATTCGTAATTCACCGGGGGATATAACAGTAAACTGGCTGCAACTTCTGTTGCAAGTAAGTATCGAGCGGAGCTAGCTTCTAGACTAGCTACCATCCCACCGAAAAGTATAGATGAGCATTAGCTGCAACTGCATGACACCATGGAAATGGCGAGTAAGGTCGCTTGCAGCTTCGCGAAACGTCAGGCTTATAAGTACTGAGTTTCTTCTGGCTCCTTACAACTGATGGAAGCCCGTCGGTCTACTCCGGGTGACCGTGAGTTTGACCACAAACGAAGGCTATTACACAACGAAATCGGGAAAAGCTTGTGTAAGGACCGAGAAGCCTGGTGGTCGGAGCGTGCCAATGAGATGGAAGCAGCAGCTGCATCTGGTAACTGCCGGAAGCTCTTCCAACTCATCCGAGTCACTGGCAGCAAGAAGTCTGGTGTGAGTGAAACAATCTACGAGGATGACGGGATGCCAATCACTAAGATCTCTCGACGTCTAGGACGATGGGCAGAATTTTTTGAAGGGCAATTCAATTGGCCTACTGTTGCGGCAACATCGACCAGATTGTCCTGCCCCCCCCATGGCCGGTGACGACTGATCCACCAAACGAGGCGGAAGTCTGCAAGGAACTCCAACTCTTAAAACACCACAAATCACCGGGGCCAGATGACTTACCTCCGGCTCTTTTTAAGGATGGTGGTGACTTTCTGACTAAGGAACTGACGGTGTTGTTTGGAAAGGTTTGGGAGCAAGAAAGTGTTCCAACATCATGGAATGAGTCGATAGTCGTCCCTATCTTTAAAAAGGGTTCACGTTGTTCCTGTAACAACTATCGGGGGATAAGTTTACTTCCGATTGCGTCCAAACTATTGGCTTCTATCATTCTTCGTAGATTGTTTAAAACCCGAGAACGATTGACTCGCGAGGAGCAGGCTGGTTTTCGTTCTGGTCGAGGATGCATTGATCACATCTTCACCCTCCGCCAAATGTTAGAACACCGTCATACTTATCGCAGGCCAACAATCGTAGTGTTTCTTGATATCAGGGCTGCCTTCGATTCGTTGTCAGGACTGTTCACTGGGATTGTCTATTGAAGAAGGGTGTGCCTGAGAAGTTCATTAACATCTTAAAGGCCTTGTATACGAACACCTCAGGCAGAATGAGGGCATACAACCACCTTTCTCCCTTGTTCCATTCGAGCAGTGGGGTTAGGCAGGGTTGCCCGATCTCACCATTCCACTTCAAGTTTGCCATCGACGACATCCTGGAATTAGCTCTGATGGGTGTAAGTAATGGCGGTGTGGATCTGCTGCCTGGAGAACGACTTCTCGACCTTGAGTATGCGGATGATATTGTCTTACTGTGCGATAATGCCCAAGCCATGCAATCCTCACTTAATCAGTTGGCAATCAGTGTCCGCAGGTACGGCATGTGCTTTGCACCCTCCAAGTGCAAGGTACTCCTACAAGACTGGCAGGATTCTCATCCTGTACTCACCCTGGATGGTGAGGAGATCGAAGTAGTTGAGAAGTTCGTGTATCTAGGTAGCTATATAAGTGCTGGTGGTGGCGTGAGTGATGAGGTTGATGCACGTATAATGAAAGCCAGAGCGGCTTATGGCAATCTGGGACATCTTTGGCGCCTTCGTGATGTTAGTCTGGCTGTAAAAGGTAGGATCTACAACACGTCGGTGAGAGCAGTTTTGCTCTATGCTTGTGAAACCTGGCTTCTCCGAGTTGAGGATGTTAAACGACTCTCTGTGTTTGATCATCGTTGTCTCCGAAGCATTGCTGACATCCAGTGGCAACACCATGTTAGTAATGCACAGGTTCGGCATCGTGTGTTCGGGCGCTGAGGCGACAATCCAATTGGTGTCACCATCTTGAAACACCGACTTCGGTGGCTTGGACATGTTTTACGAATGTTGTCCCAGAGAATTCCACGCCGTGCATTATTTGCCGACACTGGGACTGGTTGGAAAAAGTGGAGAGGAGGTCAGTGTTTAACATGGTGTCGTGGTATGAAAGAAAGCTGCAAAGGACTGGCTACTGTTGGTCTTTCACGACTCCCTGGCTGGGGTCCGAGAGATGGTACAACAAAGTGGCTAGAGACGTTATCAGATATGGCTCAGAATAGAAGCTAGTGGCGATCCTGGTGTAACCTTCTTTTACTTTCTTCATGAAGAGTGGTTCTAACTTTCGTAACTGAAAGAGTCTTCCGGTTGTACATTTCAGTTCCCCCCTTCATTACTCATCTCTTTTTTTCCTTTATATATACACATCTCCCCCCTTTCTCTTCCCATCTCATTGTTTTATGTGGCACATTGTATCTGGTGCCCCTTTGTACCAATATGTATGTGTTTAGTTCAATAAATATTCAGTTTCAGCGGCCTGCTTGAATCCCTGGGCTACCTGTTTCTGCCATCTAAATATTTCAACAAGTTATCTGGGTTTTTAAAAATTTGTTTTAACCTATCATTATGTCTCTTGATCGCATAACCTATACAGGCGCGTTTATGAAAAGCTTACGTCCTTTCGCTGCAAAAATTACAAACAAGTACAATAAGAGACATTGTGGTGTTTGGCAATATGCTTTAGAGAGAATAAACATTAATCAAATGTCGATTCCCGAGCTGCTTAACTCTAACTGTCAATCTCTAATTAACAAGGTGGACTATCTCCAATTTCTGCTAAGTCAAAACATGTATCGTAATTATGGTGTCATCACAATTCAAGAATCTTGGTTGACTGACTTACAGGATGATTGCCTAGTATCATTACGTGATCTTAATATCTATCGTCAGGATCGATCAAACAATAAAA